TATATATTAAAACGCATTAGTTAAACTTCATCATTTTAAACTTTATCCCCTGCATAAAGATTACATTACAACATTTTTTCTTTTATCCTTTTTTGTACTATATACACTTTTTTATATTGTTTGTTATATTCTACTGGGACCAGAATTTCCCTGAAGGAGTAATCCCAAAGGATAAATAAAGTTGAGTCAAAATCTAAAAACTAAAAAGCAGAACCTAGTGGAAGTAACTGACTCTATCCTCTACTACTGTAGGTGGCGGTGTTTGCAATACAATACAAACGAAGAAGAAGTAGCGCTTCGCTTTTGTGGGCGGGTTTCTACGTCATTTCCTTTGAAAATAAAACAAATGGTTAATTTATGCTAACGCTAGCATCACTGCTTTGCGGTTAATTGGTCCACAGACTGATTTTATTCAGGTTGAACGGATCATACGCTTCAACGGAAAGGTTAGTGTACATCACTTTCTGCCTGAGTGATACAGGAAGACATTAATGCTGTAATGGTCCAAAGCTCTCCCCTTTGCTAATGCTAAAGAAAAGCTCTGTAGAGTTTCATCCGGCATAAGATAAATAAGATATATTTTTTCTTTTCTTTAGTTTAAGCGTAATCTGAAGTTTCAATATAATTTAATCCAGCATGTTAATACATTTAACAACACATTTTCTGTAATTAATTTAAGCTGGAGCTAAAATAAAGAGCTAGCAATCCTATCGGCTACAATTCTTTGACAGGTAAAACCTGGAAATGATCATTCAAGCCGCCCACTGAGTCTTTAAAGCTCATTTTAAATATAGTTAAATCTTGTTTATTATCAAAACATTAATTAAAACGTATTACTATGCATTACCATTTAAAACAAGCCTCTATCTGAGCTATGACCCAATAGACAAAATTATACTTGAACTATGGCTTAAATATTCAAACTTGGCTTTTACTGGCAATGAATTTTTACTTGGTAACTTTGGCAAAGTGATGGAAATAAGCCAGTTATTTTCTATATTATTGGTATTACTAAAATGGACAAAAAGTAATTGGTTATTATACTGGATTCATTCAGATCACGCATAAAGAAACGCTATAAAACATTTATTATTCCAATCTGGGTAAGAAACTCTGTGATCAGTAACAGATGTCCTTAAAATTAGGGCTGGGTAAGTTTACATGAAATTTTCACGTTCATTGATTACACTATTACCCCGATAATTACTTTATCAGGTAACTATGGCAGTGATTAATCAGCCAGCACATGCACATATAGTTTCATACAATACAAGGAAAAAAACAAACCAAAAAACACTAATATGGGCCACCATTATCAACCAGTGAATGTATTGGTCTAACTCTACCAAGTATGAGGCTGTTAGGAGTATTAGAGTAATAAGGGATCATTTGAAATTCATATTTTTGTTGATACAAATTTAGGGCTGAACAATTTTTCCAAAAATCAAAATGTTTTTGTTGTTGCTTTATTTTATTTAACCAAAATTTTTATTTAATTAGATATTTCTTTGCATCCATCACAAGCATGTAGATATTTCCATTCAGGATTTGTACTGTTTTTATGACTTTGGCAGCTTGGTTACCAGGAGCAAGTCTTGCAAGTCAATGACTGAATGCAATTAACTGGTTTTCCTTGACAGAATTTATCACCAAACAGACTGTATTGTCTCTGTAAAGTTACTAATGACACGTGAACTATGGAGTTAATTTGGGGCCACAAAGTTTCTTCAAAACATTTTTTTTTTTTTTAAACAAAGGAATCCACTGGGATGGATCTTTGTGCACAACAATTAGGGTGGTAATGTCATCAGAGGAAATGAGACATTGGGAGGATTACATAATCTTTGGAAACAATACAGATTATAATCTTAAAACCAGCAATCGGCAAATTATTTTACTGTTATTGTTGCATGAAAAAATGCTTACTTCTACTTGCATGCATGTTAGCTGCAACCAGTGATCGCTGCAACAAACTCTTCCCTTCTGTGTGACGGCAATCCCAATTTTAGCATCGCCACCTAAAGGGCTGGAGGGAGAAAGTCTATGTCTTACTCTTGTAAATCGTTGATTTGAAAAATCATATTGCAAATGCTATTAATATAAAATTAAGTAGAAAAACACTGCTCTACTGTGCAGCCCCCTTTGAACCGTGCATTTTGTTTTGTTGATGCATTAAGGTGTGTTTTTGCAACGTGACAAGAACAGGCTTTTCTGAGGTGACAACTTTAGCAGGGCTGGGTTGGCATTAATTCTTCTCCATCTCCATGGAAATAAAATTTTATTTCCTGTCTTTTTTTTTTTTTAAGAACTCTGCAACCGTCATGGAGACCCCCAGCAAACCTGGCTCCAACCAGGTTGCTGATGTGGTGTTTGTTATCGAAGGGACGGCTAACCTGGGACCCTACTTTGAGTCTTTAAGGAAAAACTACATTCTTCCAGCTATTGAGTAAGTTCCTTCAGCTTTCGGGTCATCTCCTGCTTTCACTTTTTCCTGAATTAATGACTGTTTCGGTTTTTATGTGATCTTTGCCCATCACAGATATTTCAATGGAGGCCCCCCTGCAGAAACAGATTTTGGTGGAGATGTGAGTGCTTCTTTTATTGCGTTTCACTTTCTGAATGAAATATAGAGTGAAAAGTAAGCATAGCTGCTCCCTCTGTTCTTTTGTCGCAGTACGGAGGGACGCAGTACGGTTTGGTCGTCTTCAACACAGTGGACTGTGCTCCTGAATCCTATGCCCAGTGCCACGCACCGACCAGCTCTGCTTTTGAGTTTGTGTCGTGGATCGACAGCATCCAGTAAATGACTTAATCATTAATCTAAGCTATTGTGTCTCATTAAAGGTGCTAATTGATATCTTATGATTTGATTTTCAACAGGTTTAGGGGGGGAGGAGCTGAGAGCTGCAGCCTGATTGCAGAAGGACTTGCTGTGGCCTTGCAGCTTTTTGACGACTTCAAAAAGATGAGAGAACAAATGTAAGACAGTTTTTTTTTTTTTTTATTATTATTCCTCAGAAGCTCTTCCTTTTATGTTCATATTTGAGTTTTATTTAAGCTTTGCTTTGTGCTTTATTCCAGAGGTCAAACACACAAGGTGTGTGTGCTGTTGTGTAATTCTCCTCCCTATTTGCTCCCTGCTGTGGAGAGTGTCAGCTACACTGGCATCACAGCGGATAAACTTGTCCAGATCATTAGAGATGTAAGAGATGTTATTTTCTTTTTAGAAATGCACCGATCTGATATTTTCTGTATCTGACCCGATATCAAAGAAAATTCTAGATCGAAAATGGGCCCGAATCAATTGAGGATTCATTCTGTATCTATAATTAATTTGAGTAGGGTTAGGAATCACTTAAACAATAGGAAAGTTTAGCTGTCTTTGATTTAATAAACAGTCAATTGATACATATATATATATCCCTCAAAAATTAAAAATGTGAGTAAAAATAAACAAAACCCTTGAAAACTTTGTCGGCCAAAGAAATTCCTTTGCAGAATTTTTGACATAATGCTGTATATTGATGCAACTGAAGCTCTGAGAAGGTTGCAAGCACCTGGTTCAATCCCCACAGCCTCCACTCTGGGTTCCTGAGCAAGACCCTTAATTCCTGATTGCTCCGCGAGCGCTGCACAATGGTAGCCCACTGCTCCCCAAGGGGATGGGTTAAATGTAGGGCTGCAACTAACGATTATTTTAAAAATCGATGAATCGGCCGATTATTTTTTCGATTAATCGATGAATCGGACAAAAAATATTTTTTATATTAACCTCTTTATTCCAAAATAAACACTTTAGACAGAACAAACAAGCACACAAGTACAGGTTGCTCATTAACTGTCCTGGTTCTATATGAAAAATAAATGTTTGTGTTAAAACTACGCAAACTTACATGAGAAATGTAGCTGTACATCCACAAAATATAGGGTACTTTGTTTCATAAAAACATTTTTGTTTTTAAAAGCCCCTAAGGGGCTCAAACAATAGGCCCCCCCATTTCAACAAATGAGTTTTTTTAGACTAGAAGAGTTCTGCCTTTTAAGACAGGAAAGTATAACAGTTAAAGTTGCTACTTGAGAAAATACTGAACCATAGAGATAAAAATAGCCCTGTGGTTCAAATTATAAATTGTATTTGGAATAAAAATGAGAGAACTAGGGGTGCTAAAAAACACATCCTCCAAAGACAGATATTTACATGGGAATGTGGCAGATAATTAATTGACATATTACTGATCTTGCTGGATTTTATTCTGCTTTACTTCCATAAATTGCAGGATCTTCTTTACTTTATCTTTGCCAGAAGATTTAAACTTTAAAAGCCTTGCCCTCATAATTTGCAAGTTAATTTATTTATAAAGAAAATATAAACGCTGCTTAAGCTAATTCAAATGAAATTAAAAGTAAAATAAGTAGCCAACCTTCTCCTGCTCCTAATAGCTTCCAAACTCCTAATGGCTTTAATGTCTATGGATCCCAGTCATGTATCATGACGACACCAAAAAACATATGTTCATGTTAGAATAAGGCAATGAATGCCAAATATTAATCCTGATACTGTTTATAAAATCCCTTTTTTACCCTAAAAAATATATATATTGTACTAGGAGTGATCAGCAGACTTGAACGTTGTTGTACACCTACGCCATCTGCTGGTAGTGCTAACTCACTCCTCCAATAACTTTTATTCTTTGTCTTCTACTTCTAAGGACACAAGCCATAACAACCTGATTGAGCTACTGGCATATAAATTCACAAAGTCATAGTCTGAATTTGGCCTCTTCAATACTCTGACACTGCAGAAAGGTTTTAAGAGTTAAAATGGATTAATATTTGTGTATATATTTGATAATATTAGTCCAGGATGTGTACTATCCCTGTGCTAGTATTTGATTTATTGTAACAGGATCCCAATAGTATTAAGATGTATGTATGCATATTTTTGTGGGGGTTTTTTGCAGAGGGGAATTAACTTCTCGGTGGTGGCTCCTCGAAAACTCCCGGCTCTGAGGGCTTTGTTTGAATGGGCATCTCCAGGGGCGGTGGAACCTCATCCAGACTACAGCCAGGATCCTTTCCACATGGTGCTGGTCAGAGGCATCTCACTGCCTGGTAAGGGCATAAAATCATCTGTGTTTTCAGATGTGGAATATTAATCTATCATTAAAGTAGAGATGCTGACTCCAGTTTGGGACTCTGAATGAAAGCCTTCAGCATTGACTTAACTTTGTCTCTGAAAGGCTTAAGGCTTGACTGAAACTCTTGACTTGATTCCAGAAAAGTTAAAAAATTAATTCGAAAAGCTTCCTGGATGGGAAGTGAAACGTCTTCAGACATGGAAACAAAGTCCAATGGACTTTTTTTTTTTTTTTTAATATGTACTTTTTTGGAATGTCTATGACCTGGATGACTGAGAATCTTCACCAGCATTTAGAGGTTTGAGTTTTAGTGACAGTTGTTATTCTCCGGTATTAAAAAATGAAAGGAAGTCTGTTTCGGAGCTGAAGACTGCAGACGCTTCAGATGTTTTACTGTGAAAGGTTGATGATCTCTTAAAATAATCTGTTAACCGTAGCTTAATGATATTGACCAAATAAATGTTTCTGTCATTAAAGGCCGTATTAAATGTAATTGGATCATTTCAGAAAGAAAAAGCCGAAATTACCTCCAGCATTTTCTCATTTTCAAATTAAAACTCTTATTTCAAGGGCCCTTGTGGAAGGAAAGTAAAAGTAACACCACTTCCATTGCTGTTCTTTTTGTTTTTTTGTTTTTGTGTTGTTTATCTGCTTCACCCTACCCCCCAACCACCATAAAAACATTTATTTTTAAACAAACCAAGCCTATTATTATAGCAATATTAACGCCGACATGTTTAATCATGCTCAAATAACCAGAACACACATCATAACAACAACAGGATTTCAATCACAATAAACATGCACACCTCATCCAGAACATGATCCTGTGCATTTTCAGGTGCAGTGAGATGAAGAGAGATTCAGATCAGTCAAACTTCCAAAGAAAAACTTAAGTTTCTAAAAGTGGAATCACAGACTAAACTCGAATTATCCACCTTTGTGTTTTCACTTTGTTTATTTCATGTACCTTCTTCTCGATCTACATCTGAATCACAAATTACACAGTAAAATAGAAACTCTACAAATGTTTTATTTGATTTGTGTCCGATGATGAGAAAAAGAGAAATTTGGTAGAGTAAAAATAACAAAGCGAGAGCGCCGGTGTTAACCTGAGAAGCGCATGCCTACAAAGACTTGCGGCCCGTCGCTCTGCATAACACAGCTTCCCTGTTCCTGTCGTAGTACCAGCAAAAACTGCATGTTTAAGATAAACTGCACCTATAAGAATCACATTAACCAATTAAAAGGTTTTACAGCTCTGTGTGTGAGCATTGACAAGAAATCGGATCTTCCACCAATTTTCCCAACAGCAATGTAGGGATAAAGTGCGCATCAATGTAGCTGGTGTTACGCTTCAGCACCATGGACAGCACTGTTTGTTTGAAGCAGAGGACAAAGACTAGCTGCTTACTAGAATGCATAGAACTTCCTCTTTAATGCATCTTAAAGGAATAGTACACCCAAAACATGATTAGCCTTC